AAAAAAAACTTTCAAAAACATTCAGATGCTACTCAACCGTGGGTCGATACGGAGGGAAAAGTGTTCTAATGCTGGAAGCAAGCAAATTGGGAAAGTAGGTTCACTTAGGTAGCTTCAGCCACAGATAAGACTGCAACTCGTTCAAGCTGCATAGCAGAGGAAGTTATAATCCATGAATTGCTGCATGTCATTGGATTGTGGCATGAACATATGCGGGAAGATAGAGACCAATATATTACTGTGCTCTGGGACAACGTTCAAAAAGGCAAGTTTCCAAAGTATAATAAGGTATTAATGCGTGAAGCCAAGGCTGAGCAGTTAAGCTGAAATCTTCCACTTGAAGATATCATCTCAAAAGGCCGAGTGTTTTCTATCATATTGAGTGTTGAAGGTCTTGCAACAGTCCAACCTATTTTTTAACATTTAATCTACATCTTTGTTCACAACAAGTTAATTTGAAAAAATGTGAAAAATTGTTTAAGTGCTTATAGTTCTTCTACTCCAAATATTTTCTTAATGATTTAGTGTAAATTGCTCGAACTTAGATTGTTAGACGGTACAGGTTATAACCGCCAAAGTTCCAAAAGATTTATTTATAAGCAGAAACCTAGTACTAACCAACTTTTTTTATGGCTTAGAAATGTGGTGAAAACACTGTGCAGAACGAACGCCCTGTATACAAAACCGCTCATAACTTTTGCAGAAGAAACGTGATTTCACATAAAATCCGTCGTAAGCGTAGCATCGTCGCAACTTCTTCTAAGATAAAAATTTCATAAAAGTAAAAGCAGCGTTAGATTCAGCTCGTACAGACGAATCTTAAGGTATGCCCCACTACAGTAACCCCTGGGGAGTACGGTAGATACGGTAGGAAGTAACATTGCGACCGGTCTGAAGCTTTGCGTGATTGTCATACCCATACGCAATTGTCGTATAACTACCCCTACGCAAAGTTTCAGACGGATTCGCAATGTTGACTTCCTATCGTATCTACCGTAACCTTAGGTGTTACTGTAATGTGGCATACCTAAGATTCGTCTGGACGAGCTGAGTATAACACCGCTTTTACTTCTGGAAAGTTTCTAATGAAAGAAGTTATGACGATACGACGCTTGCGACGGATCTTTAGTGAAATCACGTTTCTTTTGCAATAGGTATGAGCGGTATTGTATCTACTATGAGTGAACAACTGTCAGAAGAGCGAGACTTTTTTTGACGAGTTGAAGTTAATTGTCGAATTTTTCTTATTAGATGCTGCTTGTGTGGAATGAGTAGTATCAGTGCGCTAGTTTTAGAGAGTTTGGGCAACGAATCCCGGCCTAGCTCCAGAATATCTTTGCCTTTAAGCTTCGCGATGTGTTCACGCTCGTCGTTTTTGAGAAGAGGATACAGCGATAGATCTCGACCATTGCCTTGGTATCCTATCGAATTTGTTGTAAAGTATTCCCAGCCAAAATGAAAAAAATACCTTCCTTACAGCTTTCGTCCTTTCAAATGCGTTTATCCCGCAGAATCCGCAGACATTTGCTCGTATGATTTACGTAGAGGGTTTTCCAGTGTACTCTTAGCTTCTTTGGTCGCTATGACTTGGCTTAAAGATTTTTGCAGCAACCTTAATCGCAATGCCGTTTAGCTTGGGAACATTTCTGAATGGACTTCCCTAATAGGTACTGAGTGCGGTGCATTTACTACCTCTGAAAATTGAGAATTTCTACCAAACTTGGATTCTACACATGAACGTTCTTTCTTCTAAGTTTCGAGACTCTCGACTCAACAAACTATCCTGCCCACATATATACCTAAAACGCCTAAGAAAATGACACTTTGAGAACTTTTAAAGGTACTTTAAGAATCGCGTTTTCTTACCTTCTGACAATCTTAGGTCATCTATCCTACATCAGTTCAAGATTCATGCATGGCAATTATAGGTTACGAGAATCAATTCGCAATGATTCGCGCTCCTGATGCTGTTACATATGGAGTACCATATGATTACACGTCTATTATGCACTATGAAAAAGACGCATTTGCAAAACCTCGTACGAACTCAATGGAGCCAAAGGATCGAACCTATCTGGTGAGTATCCCACTTTAAATCCGTCGAAAATGGAGTGGAAATACCTTCTGGTATGAAAAATTATATTTAGGACATCATTGGAAAAGCGAAAGAGCCATCAAGAAATGATTGGAAAAAGGTTTGCATGATTTACAGCTGCAAAGTGTGTATGGGTGAGAATATGGAACAATATCAAGCAACAGTAAAAACAGTCACACCCACAACTACTCGGAGTTACGTTTCAGGTACACATGCTTCTCAGGAATTTTTTCACGTATCAAGGTCAAGAGATTAGATGGCCTGAAATTTAGCTCACAATCCCTTCCTTGATTTTTCTGCTACGATAAACCATATCTCCTACCACCTCCTTTTACTGTGACATGCACAGTGTAACATACAATGGCCAATAGTGATTTATCGTTATCTAACCATTCTTTTTAGATTAGAGAGGTGTGCAAATTGTTGGAATAAAGGCAGCTATGATAACGAATTACATTACTAAGACTTTCGGCTTGTTCTCAGCGCCGCAAACAAGTTTTTGTGTTCCATTCGATTATATATTTCAATTGTTTCGTCTTTGTCAAAAGCTTAAGTAGTTACAATTCAAATTGTCTTCATCAAAACCTATCAGCGCCGGCTTTTCTCATGGGCGATAGTAATCTAGCCGAAACGGGGAAGCATAGGTGAGAGTTGACTGCGAGTTTGCTCGCTGTTAATGCCCATCTAACTCGGAGTTTAGAATGGACGAGCAC